TCTGCAGCCTCTGGAATCTTACTGGAAACTCTTTTGTGTTTCCCCTATAAGGACCTACAGGTTTATCTGAGCTGTGGAAACTGCACAAAGATAAGGTCCGGGACACGTTCCTTGCTACAGAAAAGCCATCTGCTTAGTGTCTGGAGAAGCAGGGCTCCCTGGATGCTGAACGGACAACAGTGACTAAATTGTTCCTCCTTTATTTCAATTTTACTTTCCTCTCTGGTGATACAGTTTGTAAGTGATGCAGAGATTTAGAAGTAGCAAGCAGGTCCCTGGGTCTATGGCTACCTGTGGGTCCTGCTCTTGTACAGGAAAGCATGTTCTACTTGGTTTTTCAGGCAAGGGCAAAATGACTGGATGCATGCCTCCTGTCCACACTGTTTGAAAAGAACTGATTTTTGTTTTAAGGAACCCAGGGCCTCGCATATGCTGAGTAAGTGCTCTACCACTGACCTATACCTCTTGGTGAAAAGAGCAGCATATTAAATGATCAAAGGCTGTGTAACTGTTTTCAAGGCAAAAATATCTGAGCTAGCGGGAAACAGCATCAATTGGCAAGGAACTCTTACCTGTGTGGCTGGAGTAGATGTGCAAGCCACTCTGTCAGTCGGATGGGTCTAGAGATACCACCCTCATGTAAACTGAAATTCTTACAGGATATATTCATTCTCTGCAGAATTTATTTCTTCTTCTTTTTTATGATGCTGAGGATCAAACTAGGACTTTAGCTTGCTAGGCAAGTATTTTATCACTGAGCTATATCCCCATCCCGCTACAGAATCTGCATTGATTTGAACATTTCCTCAGGTTCATGTGTGTTTGACGTACTGTTTTTTGTTTCAGTCAATGGTAGCAATCTGACATAGTCATGGCCCCATTCTAGGTCTACTTGTATAACCTGAGTCTTAGTTTCCTCAGATATAAAATAAGAACAATAAGTATCTACCTCTGAGGGCATCTCTCTAGTTATTAATTCAACAATAGTGTTTCCTGTTGCCAAAATGCCAGATATTGAGAACTCAGTAGATAAACACTGAATGTGTGTCCTTGACCTCCTTGCTGCTATGGAATAAAAGGCAAAATAAACAAGTCAGGAAACAAAAATAAAATAATTTTACATGACATTAAGAGTTATGAAGGGCAAGAATAGGGTATAAAGGAAACAGAGACATCTACATGAAAGGCTGGAAAAGAGGTTAAAAAAGGGTTGGGGGAAGGGTAATGTGCAAAGATCCTGAGGTACAAGTATCTTTAAAAAATGAACAAGACTGAGCAGGTAACAGTTGCTTGGAGAAATGAATTCTAGGCTAAGGGAATAAGTGATCAATATAAAGGCCCAGGTACTGCTGGTTTATAACCCGGGGGAGCAGTAGGAGTCTTCCTGAGTACTGGGAAGCCACTGGAAGGCTTTGACCATAGGTAACACTTGATCAACCTCATTTACTTTTGAAACAGAGCTCCTTGACTAGGAAGCCAGGACTTTCAATGAGATTGAATGGGATAATGAATGCTGAACATTTTGTAACATACATGAGGCACAATACTTGTCCAGTTATGGCAGTAATTTTTATTAGTAAAGAGGTGGTTCTGTAGTTAAGGCCTCTTGCAGAGGACCCAGGTTTGGTTCTCAGCACCCACCTGGTGGCTAATAACCATCCATAAGTCCAGTTCCATGGGAACTTACACCCTCTTCTGGCCACTGAGGGCATTGCATGCATGGGTGCACTTACATGCATGCAGTCAAAACATTCATACGTATAAAATAAAATAATAAATTTGTAAATATTAAAAATAATTATTAATAACTATACTGCTTCAGTTTGGCATCATAATATGATGCATTGTATGAATTCAACATGTATGCCTGAAATTAAATGTCTTCTCTGATTTCAATTACTATAATGTCAAAAAAACTAGATCAGGAGTTAGGAAATGGGTTTATTGACTTAGGTAGGACTCAAATTCAAAGCTAATAATTTGGATTTCTAATTTTTAAATCTTGTTTTTGTCCACATAATTAGGTACACATCCAAACTTTTTACAGGTCGAATTTGTGATTTTTGTTTTAGTAATTAAATTAGTATACCCGTCTATAAAAGAACACTTCTTGAAAATCTTTTTCAGCAACCACAATATTTACTTTTGTGCAATTTATTTTTGACCCCAATAAACAGGAATGTAGAGAGAATGTGTGTCTGGAAGGCCAGCATTCACAGTGATTCGCCCGATGCGATGCAGAGAACCAAAGGATATATACTCCATCCTCCTTGTTTCGCTAATGACATTTCCTCAACAGATCCCTGTGTTACTTACTAATGACAAATCCAAGGTATAGAAAGTCCCAGTCTTTTCTACACCAATAAAAAGTATGTAGCAGGGGATGGTGAGATGAGATGAGGTTGCTTGGGTTTAAATCAGTGGTTAAGAGCACTGGCTGCTCTTGTAAAGGAACCAGATTCTATCCCCAGCACCCACATGGCAGCTAACAGCTGACCGCAACTCCAGTTCGAGGAAGGGGATCCAACAAGCTGGTGCACTCACATACATGTAGACAAAACACTCATAACACATAAAATAAAAATGAATAAATAATAACTTTTTTAAAGCCTGTAGCAGGGGTTGGGGATGTGGCTCAGGGCTAGAACTCAGGACCCTATCCTAAGTTCATCTCTAGAACTATGAAAGAAAAAAAAATCAATCCAAAGGTGGAAGCAAATGCAAAGAAATTCATAGACATACTTTCCCAGACTTCTGGAGCATGTGTTATTTCTCACATGACCCAATAATGGTGTCCTCCTTTTATAGCTGCTGTGACGACTGAGGTGAAGAACCCTCCTACACAGTCTGACAAACAACAAACTCAACAATTGTTTCCTGTTGAGGTTGCTATTGTCAAATCCTAAATGAAAAAAAGAAGTTTCTAGTGCTCCAGGTAAAACTGCTTTGGATATTAGAAAAAAGTACAATGAATTTGACTTCTTACCTATGACCCTAATTTGACCCTTAAATCCAGATGAGACCTGGCAACTGAGTCCTCTTCCCTCCCAGTACTGACCCCAGTTGCAGGCACCCCGCGGGGGTTCTCTTCTAAGTTCACAGACTGGCAGCGCTGTGCAAGGTAGCCCTCTAAATCCTACTTGAAATTATACTTGTAACCTGGGAGTTTGATAAGCCAAGAGGTCTGCGGTTTCAATTCCCTCTGTCCTCTGCCTCTCTAATTATCTTTGTAATGCTCTAATGCTAAATAATGATGCTGCTAATGCACGCTGCATCTCGCACACAGGTGCCAGCTGTTACCTCGCCGGGCAGCTGACCGCACAGAGCAGACGCGGGCGCATTCACGCGGCCCAGCCCTGCCCACACAAACAAAACAAAGAAAGCCCAGCTTCCTACCCCGCCACCCGCCCTCCCTCTCGCCTCCGGGAGGCCCTACTCGCCATGTCCCTGGCCTAGCTCTCCTTCGCTGCCCCTCCCTCACCCTTCCCCTAACTGCCCTCCCTCCCACCGGTGGTTTCTTCCTGCCACAGAAATCCAGGAAACCTCCCCCCACCCCACTACCCCACATTTCCTCTGCCCACAATTTTCTCCGGGGGCCTGAGTCACACACAGTTCGGCTTGGTCTGGAGTTCTCTTTTCACTGCCGCATGAGAAGCCCCAACTCCCCCATTATTTCTGAAACTAGAGCTTGCCAGACGAGGTTGCTTGGGTTTAAATCTGATAATTGAACCTTCATCATTAAATTTTTTTAATGGCATATTGAAGGCAAGTGGCCAAAGAACAAATGTGAAACTGTTGGCTACTCACACACATACATACACACACACACACCACACACCCGCACGCGCACGCGCGCGCACACACACGCGCGCAGACACACAAAGACCTTTCACATGCTTGTCGGTGAACAGCCTTGAGCAGACAACATCTGCAGGATGTTGTTTTTTTTTTTTTTTTTTTTTTTTTTTTTTTTAAAAAACTTTAATCTCGCAATTCATTGTGTCTGTGATGATGGTTACAGCCACTAAAAGGGGATAACAGAGGCCAACTTGGCACATAAACAAATTTCAATGTGAACCGAGAGGTTTGTCCGCCTTATGATGTCTGGTTTTGACTTAGTGCCAAAAAACCCAAACAAAAAGGAAACCAAGAGATGGGCTGGTGAGGGTCCGGGGGAGTTGCAGTTGCTAAACGGTGCAGGCTCCTTTAATCCTGACAGCACGACGCTAGCAGGGGTCACCTCACATCTGCTCCAGCAAAGACAAAGGGCAAGGTGGGGCTGCGGTGGCAGGCTCAGGCTCCTGCAGGGCCGCGGGCTGCCCGCACCGAGCCGGCCCCGCCAGAGCCAGGGCGGAGGGGGCCTCAGCCCCGCCGCAGCATTTAACCTTGACTTCTGCCTCCTGGCTTGTGGCACCCGAGCAAAGCCGGGCCAGATGGGCGTCCTGAGTGCGCCGACATCCCCTCTGGCTCCCGCGTTCTCGCACAGATGTCGCAGGCTATCCCGGGGCCCCGCCACGCTGCCACGGAGGCCGCTAGTGGCCGGGACGGCAGGCGCAGCCCTCAATCTCCCTGCCCGCGCGCCCAGGGCCCCCCTGGCATCCTCCATCCCCGCCTGGCCCCGCAGGGAGCCGAGCGCCCAGGCCAGCTCCGGGTGTTCCCGCGGGAGTCCCCCGGGACAATGGCGAGCCTGTGTTCTGTCGGCTGGGGGCGTCGACCCGGCCGCTGGTGGGTCCCCCGGGACTGAGTGCCGTGCTGTCCCCGCGCCCTGGGGCCAGTGTGCCCCGCGGGGCGCCTGGGACAGGGCGGGAGGGGACATCTGAGGCCCCGGAGACCCGAGCTCCCGGACAACATTGTCGCCCGCGCCGGGCATGTCCATGGAGACAAACCAGGCAGTGACAGGCCGGAGGCGGCTCCAGGGATCCATAATTTATGATGTTGTTCTACCAACCCAGTTTGGGATTTCACAAGCTTTGTCTCTTTCCTTTCCATTTGTTGCGTCTGTCGATCCTTTTGAAGGAAATTCTTCCCTTTTCCAAGACAGAGCAGTTACGGTAGGGAAGCAACGTGACAAGAAAACGGTATTTTAATGGTGGGGCTGATGAGTGGGTGAGGGAACACAGGTAAGAGGACAGTTAGGCCTGGGGGTGGAGAAGCAAAAAAACAACAAAAAGCAAACAAACCAACAGCAACATGCAAAACAAACAAACAAACAAAAAAACATGGTAACTTGGATGGCAGGGAAGAGGTGACCTGCCCCTCCTCACAGCTCCTGGTCTCTGCTGATCCTGGGAGGACCCTGTGTTCTGCAGATGACCTTAGGTGCTTCTAATTTAGGATACTTTAAGGGACTGTTGGGCAAAAGTCCTAAAAATTCCTTAAATTGCTTTAGTGACAGGGAAAGCTTTACAGATTTTACCAAGTTTTGGTGGAATAAATGAGTTTTACACACAACCAAGGGCCCTAAACTAAGATGGGGGAATTTTTCTTTCTTGTTACCTTTTTTTTTTTTTTTCTTTGAAAATGTATTCTGAACTTGCCCTTGTCTCTTTGGATTCAAAGTTGCTAAATAGAACTAGCCACCTCTTGCTGTGGCCTCTGCCTCAGAAACCAGGAAGGACTTGAATACCAAGGGGTTTGAAAGAGCTGGTTCCATCCCAGAGTTGATGCAGGTGGCAGAAGGCCCTCAGACAAGGCTGCTCCCCTTCCTCTTGCTGGTAAAGGGGCCGCAGGCCTGGGAAGAGCTGCCAGCTCTTCAACCTGCACCCCCTACAGATGGCTGGGTCATTTTGTGGCTTACAAATGACCAAGTCAGGTTGAAGCCACATTTGCTGTGGTTACAGGCAACTGTCATTAGTTACACAGTGATCCAGTTATGCCACACCCTCTTTTTTTTCTCTGTCGCACGCCCTCTTTAAAAAGGAGTTACACAGTGATCCAGTTATGCCACACCCTCTTTTTTTTCTCTGTCGCACACCCTCTTTAAAAAGGACATTACACACCACCACCAGGGAAGCATTCTTGCCAAAGATCATTAATCAGGGAAGAGTCTCATCAGGCTGAAAATCCAGGTTAGTGTTGGAGCACGTGCCTACAATGTATGTGGCCCTGGGTCCAATTCCCAGCAAAAAAAAAAAAAAAAAAAAAAAAAAAAAAAAGGACCTTTAACATTTTGCCAGGTTAATTTCAGAAAATACCCTGTGCACAAGGAAAAACAAGGTTGTAAGGGGCAGGAGATTGATGCCTACCTGTAGATTTAAGTAGGCCAGGACTCTGGGTGTCTGCCTATAGGTTAAACTAGGCCAGGAGTTGGTCTACAGAAAGGGAGTAAATCTGAGTGTGGCAAGTAGAATTTTTCTGAACTTTGACTAGAGATGGGTTTCCAAGTTCAAGGATAGTTCCTCCTGAGGGAATCTGGGAGGGAAAGAAAAGAGCTTCCTGGTTACTTTGACTTGGCCCATGTATTTGTGGCCATTGGTAAAATGAAAGTGGGGGTGAGGAAGACAGGAAGGGGAAGATGAACCCTCAATATGGAGGCTTGTGTGGGTTTTTAACTTCTTAAAAATAGAATTTCTTTTACCACAGTGGCACAGGAACTTGTAAATATGAGCTGTCAGCAATAGTAAACAAATCAGTCTATGTTCTTTTTATCTGAAAAGTAGTTTCTCTCTCTCTGTCTCTCTCTGTCTCTCTCATGCAAAACAAAAATTTCCCCTGCTCTTCAAGGCTTCTTTGCTGGTGAATGTTTGTCCAGGAACAAACAGCCTTCTATATAAATGGTCTCCAAAAGTTCATGAACAAAAAGTGTCCAATGTCTGGGCACCCACAATATGACCTCTGCTGCATAGTGGAGCTTTTCTGTCCTGAATTTGTGATCTGCTATCAGAGTCCTTTAATTTCTATGAACAGAAGTCTCTTTGGGAGAAGAAAGGATGGGGGTGGGGAAACAGCACTAGAATCAATCTTTTTTTCCTGCTTCCTTTTGCTGTTTTCTTCTAGTCAGCAAGGAATGCTTGACTTGCTCTGATCTTTCCCAGCATCTTACTAAGGTGAGGGCTGTGAAGGGTTAAGGGAGGCCACCACAGGTTTCCCTGCTGGGTGGGACAGCAAGACAGGCCCCACCTCAGAGCTGTTCATAGAAAAGAGATACCCCACTCCTTTATCTCCTTTGGAGATTTTCTTTTTACTGTGTGTTTAAAATGATTTTCAGTGATGACTGCCTTTTTAAAGGGGTAGGTTTCCTTTAACCACTGGGAATCACTTTCAATGCTCCAAAAGCACAATCTGATGAAAGGACAGTCACTGATTATAGGTGAGATGGACTACAGTTTTGAGAGCTGGGCAGAAACAATTATTTGTGATTAAATTTTAATGGTCAGTTGAGAGAACATTTTAAACATTTGGCTACTTTTTTATGGGTTGACACTTTCATTTCAATGAATTCGATTTAACACACTTTGAGCAGTCTCTACAAAAGCCACGTGCCCAGGTTGGTGCCCAGGTAGGAGGCAGCACAAAGATGCCCCACAGCCCTGATATCCTGACACATTCTAACGAGGGAGAGCTAATATGTAATTTTTTGATTTAGTGTTTTTGGTGTTGGGGAATCCAACCCAGGGTCTTATTCATGTAAAACAAGTGCTCTGTCATTAAGCTACATGCCCAGCCAAGAAATCATATTTAAAACAACTTTTGGGAGCTGGAGAGATGGCTTTTCCACAGCACCAGAGTTCAATTCCCAGAAACCATGCGGGGTGACTCACAACCAGCAGGGGGATCTGACACCTGTGGTTTCCATGGGTATCTGTGGTCATGTGCACACCCCCCATATAAACACATAATTTAAAATAAAAATTAAATTGAAAAAAATTTAAAACAATTTTCAGATAAGGATAAGTTTTAAAAATGAAACAGTTATGGAGAAGGCATAGCTGGGAAGTTAATATTCAAGCTGAGACCTAGAAACAGAAGAAAAGAAGCAAAAGTACCACCTGGGAGAGATGGTCCAAGCAGAGAGTCAGGGAGGACTGAGGCTAGAGCACTGACTTGAGTTGTGAAGGAAGAAGGAAGGCCTGTGCTATAGTGGTGTTGTGGAAAAATAGTGGAGGCTTGGCTCCATCACTGTGCTTTCTGGTTCTTTCCTGGTTGCTGGAGCTGCAGTCTGTTCTCCTTCAGGGCCTCTGCCATTACCCATTTCGATGGTTTTCTGCATTCAGCCTCCCTCCCAATTCTCTCCACTTGAGCCAGCAGAACCACTAAGGCCAGCCATGTTTACTGAGAGCAGGGAATGCAGCAGAGCCAAAAAAAAAAAAAAAAAACAAAAAAATGAGGTTGGAGGTAGAGGATAGTGACTTCCAGGACAGCTGGGGCTACAGAGAGACCCTGTCTCAACAAAAAAAAAAAAAAAAAAAAAAAAAATGGAGTTTGAGGTTAGAGAGGAGAGACATGGATACATTCATCCTGAAGAGCTGGATGGATGGGGGACAGGTATGGGTCAAATAGTTCTGAAATGAGCCACCCCGGCATCTATCCCACTATCTACTACCATTGGGCAAGCTGAGGAAGTAGCTAAGCAAGGACCTCAGTCTACAGGCCAGAAGCTCCTTCTCTTCTGCCTCCAACTCTCTCCTTCTTCACTCATCAGAAGAGAACCTGCATCTCCTGTCATTTTCAACTCAGTTCTCTTCCAAAAGAGAGTCCTCTGCTTTGTTTAATCAAATCACAGAAAAGTGCTGTTTTGCCCAAATCCACCTTGCCCCCCATCTTGCCCTTTATCTCCCATGATCCACCTCTGAGTTCTAGGATATGGGTTGGATCCTTTGCTCTGTCTTTGACTGGCCACCTGATCTTGGTAAGTTGGCTGATTTCTTGAAGCTTCTACTAGCTGATTTTGGAATAAGGTTGATAATGACTCACATCTTGCTATGAAAATTAAATGAGGTCATTGACAAGGAGTTTCTCAAAAAATGCCTACCTAGCCCATAGTAAATGCTCAAACATATGTCAGTCATTACAAAAATCAACACTGAATTTTGCAAACCAACTCCTTCTTAGACTTCCTCCTTTCTTGACCTTCTGAACCTCCTTCTTAACCTTCCTGGCTTCCTACCTCCCTGACCCTATCCATCCATGCTCTGTATAGCCTCTGATCTCAGCCTTCTCTCTTGCTGAGCTCTTCCCTCCTGGCCTGCTCTTCTTAGCCTAATCAGGCTTTCATAGTTGGATCATCTGAGAATTTCTTTCATCCATCCAGCAATTATTGATTCTAGATGGGTCACCTCCAAATTGTCATCTCCAGCTCTCACCTCTGTGCAACTGGGATCCTGGGGCACTGAGCTCCACTTAAACTTCCTGTGCTGTTCCAAACCAAATCTGACTCAACACCAAGTTTTGAACCTTTTTATAAATCACAAATCCCCTCCCAATTTCTAAATGTGGGGTTCCATGTTCTTCTAAATACTCTTCCACATCCACCGAGACTCGGGATCTGAAGCATCTTTGTTGACATTGTCTTCCTCTTATGGTTATTGCTTTTCTAGGACTATGCAAGCATCTAACTCCCAAATACCTTGCAGCTAGGATTCTCTTGTTGACACCTAGTTCCCTCCAGTTGTTCCCACCCCAGCCTTCAATTCTCCCTTCTAATTGGCTGCACAGGCAGCTTGTGGGAGAGAGAAAGTCTGGCCTCAGTTTCCCTCCCTGTTTAGGATCTTGGTTTCCTTCTCTGAAGAATAATGCTCTTGAATGTTCATCACAGAAGCATTTTGGCTCAGGTCTGCTACAGACATAAAGTCAAGAGAAGGCATTTCTGCAAAATCCTGAGTTGCATACAGGCTCAGTATGGCCCTAAATGAGAATTGACCCCAGAAATGAGAGGAGTCAATGAGAGTATAAACCACTGAAGTGTGATAAGGGGGAGAAACTAGGTGTGCTAGTAAGAATGGCCATATTGTTAACATATCGCTGCTGGTGGTGTTCTTCGTCTTCATTTCCCACCTTCTCTTTGGGGCTCATTCCGTGTCCTTAAGGAGCACAGGCTATAATGGAATGAACA